TGGGAAGCTTATGAACCACCAAATCGGCACTCAAACCCGGCATGTCATCATACGACCAAGCAAATACATCTCTGTACTCGAACAAAACTTGAATTATGGCATCTCTAGTCTTTTGTTCAGTATGAATGCTTATTTTTGTTTCTCTGGTTTCTTCAGGAATTCCTAGGTTAATTGCCTCAGTTTCATTTAAGTTAGGCTTAGGCTTATTCTCAAATTGATCCAATTCCCTTTTTATTTCCTTAAGAGCCTCATCTTCATCATACTCAACTTCTTGATTCATTATTTCAAGATTAGATAATTTTTTAAGATCTAGGCATGAATTCCGCGTGCATGTCATGTTTTTAAAACCATCATTAACGAAACTGAAAATGATAAGAAATTAACAAAAATTAGGGAAAGGAAAAGACAGAATTTTACTATGAAACTGAAGCTTCATTTCATTGAATTTGAAAGGATAGAAGGGTTAACATCAAAGCAAAACAATTAAACTAAACTATATGGATTACAACCCTTAAAATAATCCAAATACAGAAAAAGCAACAAAACAGACTACCAAGACTCCTTCCTGATGGGAAAAGGAGTTGCTTCCCAGTTGTTAAGCGAGGTATCTGGACCAATCAACTGAACACTTGCACGGCTAGGGCCTCACCAACTTGAACCATATTTATCTCATATAACATCTCCTTGAGACCCTGGAAAACATCATCAATGTCATCCCGAGTAGAGGGATTTTGGACTTCTTCAAATTGTGGCTTGACAAAAGAGTAGGCAATGTGAGGGATTGGTTTGGACAAATTCCAACCATTCTTTTTGTGGGCCTTGGATCTGTCTATGTCGGCTGATATTGGTTTAAAACCCAAGCCAAAGGTATCTTTCTTCGAAAAAGAAGCAATAGGGTTCACAATTCCCTGCAGAGAGGATCCTAATCCTTTTTCCTAGTTCATAGCCGTTCCTCAACATCAGTGAAACTACCATCATGGATGTGGCTGAAAGACGGGGATGCAGAATTGGTTTTCCTTCTTCCACTTGGTCAACCTCAATCACCTCAAAAGCATGATATATGATGGATTCACACCCTTCCTTGGCCTCGATACATGGAAGGGATGGGTCTTTATAGACAGATGAGTCTTCCTCCCCATGAACAATAATTGCTTGTCTGTCATACTCGAATTTGACCTTTTGATGTAGGGTGGATGGTACAACTCTGGCCATATGGATCCATAGCCTTCCCAGAAGAAAATGATAGGAAGTCTCTATATCCAACACTTGAAAGATAATGTTAAAATCAACCGGGCCAATTGTCATGGTGAGTTCGATTTCCCCAATAATGTCTCTTCTTGAACCATCAAAAGCTCTGATACTGACATTACTAGTCCGAATTCTGTTAGTGTCAATGTTCAACTGTTGTAGAGTAGAAAGAGGGCATACATCTATGCTTGAGCCTCCGTCAATCATGACTCGTTTTACGTAGTGCCCTTCACATTTGACCATAAGATGCAAAGCTCTATTGTGCCCAACCCATTCCTCAGGCAAATCATCATCGCTGAAAGTAATTCTATTTACTTCAAAGAACCTTTCAGCCATTTTTTCTAGTTGATTCACCATTGTCTTTTCTGAGACATATGCCTCGTTCAGAGTTTTGATTAACACACGACGATGCTCTTCCGAGTGCAAAAGCAAAGATAACAAAGATATCTGAGCAGGGGTTTTCCTTATTTAGTCAATGATTGAGTAGTCTTGCATTTTCATCTTCTTAAGGAATTCCTCCGCTTCTTTTTCTGCAACGGGTTCTTTCATTGGCAAGTGACTTTCCCTGGCTTGCTTAGCTTTTCTCAATTCTTATGGTGAGTAGTACCTTCCAGAGCGGGTCAAGCCCCCCCATTTCATCTGTTTCTTCAACTATCTCTTTTCCTCTGTATGTCATGACAGTCTTGTTATAATTCTAGGGAATAGCTTTCGTGTTTGTCACTGGGAGTTGTGCAACAGGTCAGATCACGACTGGCTCTGTTATATTTATCAAACCCTTATTCGAAACGATCTTTAGAATGCCCCCAGGGATATAAATTTTGGGTCCACCCAATTGAACCTCAACCTTTTTTGTGCTTCTAGGGACATAGAGAATCATTTTTCCCAAACTTGCCAAGTTCAAGCTAGAGCTCGCACCTTTCACAATCAACGGTGCCAATTGCGGTGGGCTTATTGTCACTTTTGGTTCTTTCCCTATGGTTCCAACAACCATCTCTGTCTTGCCAGACTGCTTATAATCCCGATCATCACAAATCATCCCATAAAATGTGTATTATTATGAACTAGGAGTGGATTGTTCGTGATATTAGGAGTATCCTCATTGTTTGTCACCACAATTGCCTTTGCTTTAATCAAATCTTCAATGGCTCTATTTAACGTCCAACAATTTTTGGTACTATGACCTTGGGTGTTAGAGTGATACTCACATCTTGCATTTGAGTCAAAACCTTTTGAATTTGGATTCACATAACGCGGCATGATAGGTTCAATTAACTGCAACTTCATCAATTTTTAAAATAGGCTTGTATATGATTCTCTAATTGGAGTGAACTCTTTCTTTAGCTCATGTTCTCTCACATATTCCTATCGGGGACGAGGATTATATGACACCAAAAAATTCGTCCGGAGTTGATGGGAGCCTAGTGAAATCGGTGCCCACCATTGTTGGTGATTGAGAGGCCTAGCATAATCCTGAGCATTAAACACTGTGTACTGTTGTGGGGGAACTGAGTACCGGGGACCCTGAGGCGAATAGTAATGTTGAGGAGAATAGGATTGTCCTTGTTTAAATTGAACATAAGAAGGAGATACTCCTCTTTGAACTCACCCGAACCCAGATGCCATCATGGATCCTTCCTCATTCTTTTTTCGATTTCCAAAACTGCCTCACCCACTTTGAATTGCTTGTGTGGTCGCCTTAAGGGCTGCCTGACTCATAATTTTGCCCGACTTCATGCCATTCTCAACTATTTTACCAATATTAATCGCCTCAACGAAAGGTTTACCAATGGCGGCCAACATGTAATAGAGGTAATCGGGATCTTGAGCTAGGAGAAAATAGTCAATCATTTCTGCCTCTTTCATTGGTGGTTTGACCCTAGCGGCTTGCTCTCTCCACTTGATTGCATATTCTTTGAAGCTTTATGTTGGTTTCTTCTTTATGTTGACGAGAGAGGAGCGGTCTGGCACTATATCAATATTGTACTGAAACTGTTGGACAAAATCTTGAGCCATGTCATTCCAAACGTGCCAGTGAGAGATGTCTTGATCTATGAACCGCTCTGAAGCAATTCCTTTCAAACTTTCCCCAAAATAAGCCATGAGTAATTCTTCTTTGCCTCCTGCTCCCCTTAATTGGTTACAATACCTCTTCAAATAGGCAATGGGATCACCATGCCCATCGTACTTTTAAAACTTAGGGGTCTTGAAGCCGGGTGGCAAATGAACATGGGGGAACATGCATAGATCGTTAAACGAAACACTCTTGTGGACTCCCAAACCCTGTATGTTTCTCATGGTTTGTTCCAAGCTCTTCATTTTTCTGGTCATTTTCTCTTATTCCATATTCTTGTCGGGATTTTCGATCTCGATTGGGAACACGTTCTGAGGAGTATGCTTGTATGAATCTGGAACCTTGAAAGTCAGTTCTGGAGAGTAATATTAGTCATCATGAGAATTCAATTGTGGATCATTGTTGGACTTTTGAGCAAGAGCCGGTTGGGGGACAGTGAAAGCATAGGTAATGGGTACAGTAGGTGGGTCATTTCTGAGGGGTGGGGTTTGAGGACGTTGAATGGAGGTACTGGGGATAGTGGGAAGGTTAATGCTTGGGCTGAATCCAAGTTGGTACAATGGGTTACTTATTTTGGATATGGGCACTTGAGTTGCAACTGACACATTATGAAGATTATCCGAAGGCCCTATGGGTCGTGGGGGCGGTGCCTGTCCATTCACCCAGGCTTGGTACATCTCTGCCAATTGTTGTTTTAACACTCTTACTTCTTTAACCATTCCCGAACCTTGTTCGACCAATTGTCCATGAACATCATCATTATCTGACTCATTCTTATTGTTGCTTACCATTCTACATTTTCCTTTTGATCTCGTGTTGTAAAGGTGAGTCTCCAGTTTAAACCACAAACCAACCACCTCTGTTTAACTTTATCTTAAAATGACAAACAACAAACGTGTTAGAGTTAGGCATTTTGCAGATATTAATCACACATTGTATGTCATGCACCTAGTGCCATTTTCATTTCTAAAATTATCTTGGAAGGCTTCATGCTTCATCCCGACTTATTTATTTATTTCCTCTTTAATTTAACGCTCTTTTTTCTTTCCTTTTTTTTTTTAAAAAAAATTTTCTCTCATTTTTTTCAGATTAATTATGGCTATGATCGCATCCGATGAGGATTGCCTACGTATCACGACGCCATATGAATCAGACCATTACGTAGTTCAGGGGGGAAACAATAACAAATTTGATGATTTTTTAAAAAATTAATTAAATTTTTTTTATATATAAATAAAATAAAACAATTAAAATATTTTTCATTCATTTTCAATCAAATTTTTTATATACAATGAGAGAAAAGAAAATATATAGAAGCTGACTCTACTGACTCTAAAAACATAAACATGACTGGAATAAAACAAACTTTGATAAGAATAAAAGACTCCAAATATAAAATAAAAAATAAAAAAAATACGACAAACGAAAATGAAACTAAAAGCTAATCGACTGTACTAAAATTTAATCCCCAATGGCTTTCTTGCTTAAATTGATATCATCAATGATATGCATCTCTTGGCCCCCCCCCCCCACCCAAAGTCTCGTACAAATTTTGAAACACCGTCGATAACTGTGGAACGAGGATGCGTGCCTGTTGACCAACTTTCTCATTATTTAGATGACGATGATCATCATGAACATATGATGCTTCCTCTGCCAATCGAATTACTTGCACTCCAGCTTACCCTATATTCACGTGACAATTCTGCAACCACATCTGGGTAGTGTTGAGGGCGTGCCCAATCTGAGCCTCCTGTCTCTCATACTCTTCAATACGACGGTTTAGCACACCTCTCTCTATCATCCACTGACGCCGCTCTGCCTCAAAATCTGCATGTTGATGATCCTTCTTCTGCCTTTTTATTTCTTCTAATTGTGCATGAAACTGACCCTTTGAGCGTATCCAATGGGCCCTTTCTCTTTCAAACTGCTCTTTCTGCTGATCAAACTCCAATTGTTGCTGGTGCACATCCTCTTCAATAATACTCAAGTCTTTTTGCAACTTATGCATTTCGGCATTTTTGTTCGCCTCAACTCTTCTGACTAAACCAATCGTGTTTTCCAGTTCTTCTTCTAAGCGGGCCGCCTCATTTTTAGCATGCTTTAGATCTTTATCCATGACCCGTAAGGCAGATTGATAATCTTTCTCAATATTTAAACGAATCTGAGCGACTCCAGCTTGCTGCTGGGCTTGTTGTTTGGCTATGGTCATCTGAGCATGCTCCAATTCCCCTTTCAACCTTTCTATAGTTCTTTGATCATTTCTCCTCCTGTTTTACCCCTCAAGTCTATCTCTAAACGACGAAGGGTCATGAAACCAAGTAATATATTCAGGGGTCGCCTCTCCACGATCTCGGTCTTCTACCATCTCATTCAACTTCGAAACCTTACTTGCATACCAAATTTTCATAATTTCTTTTTCGTCATGAGGTTGATCTTTACCAAAATCATAACAAAACTTGTTCATATCTCGTATTGGTGGCACCTCTTGTCGTCGTGCAAACTGGCGCATTACCCGAAGTGGAGCATAGGGCTGAACACTATCCAATCCTATGAGTACCAAATAAGAATGGTATGCAGACTCACAGATGACCTCTTTAGAGGAAAACCAATCGTAGTTCCAAGTGATCCGTTTGGCGGACAGAGTAAGGAGTAGTTCTTTCGAGGCATCTATCCCTTCTGATAAGTCACATTTGTTAATTCTTTTCTGGTGATCATAAATATGATTGGGCCATAGCTCACAAAAATCAGTGATCGTAGGATGACGATAGAAATACTCCAAAAATTATATCTGTAGCAAAATATTGCAGCCATCAAAGTTTCGCGCGCCCAATTTACATCTAGTTAAAGCATGAAAAATGCAAGAAAGAATCATAGGGACCAAAGTATAATCATCCCCTTATGAGGTCAGAGCCTCAACTACACCTGCCAAGTGGAAGTCAATGTGTCCTTCCCTTTCCGGAAAAACTACACGCCCCAAAAAAGCAACCATAAATTCAAACCTTCTGTGAACCTTCCATGATTCCTTATTTTCCTTTGATTTCAGCTTTCCCACATTCCTTTTGAAATTGCATTCTAGGCCATACAAGTGAAACAGAAATCCCAACTTAACCCACTTGCCTCCTAAACCTTCATATTGTCCGTAATTTATGTTCAAGAGCTTCATAAACTTACCCTCATTCCCATTTTTTGGTACTATGGGCCTTTGGCGGCGAAGATTGCGGCCCCACTCCTGGAAATGGGCAATTTCCTCCAAGGTCAGAGTCATTTCACAGTCGGTAAAATGGAACATATTATTTTCAGGATCCCAATGCGGAATCAAATCCTCGATCACATCCCTCCTGGGCTTGATCGTAATCATGTGAACCAAATATCCCAAGTACTTCTTTATCTGGTTTCGTTCATATTCTTTAAAGTCTCTCCACCAATCCCCCAACAATTGTGGTATCTGATCGACTATCAGAAAATCCGGTGTCCCTTCTGATCTGGGCCTCTTTTCAGATTTACATCTTTTCCCACTCATGGTGTACCTGTTTACCCAGACACGAGGTTAGACTTTAATCAAATATATTATTGACACAAAAAATCCGATTTCTCGGGTTTTGACTCTATAAAAATAAAAAATAAAAGTCAAACTGTGAGACTAAAAAAAATTACATTAACAAAATAATCATGAAATTAAAAACTAAAAGGCTCAAAATGACTTTTTTTTGTAAAAACAAGTGAACTAAAGAAAAAAAAAACTGGCCTCTTTTGTTAAAACGACCTTTTCGCATTTCTAAGGAAGGTTTCAAGGCTATTTCGACAAAAGGACCGGACGCAAGGACAAAACTAGTCAAAAGAGATAAAACTGACAAAATGACTATATCTTTTTAAAAATGGGGTTGAACCCGATGAAGGTTTCCTATGTATCTCACATCCTGTGAGAATCAAACCCGCGTAGTTCGGTTAAAATAAAAAAAAATATTTTAAAAATTGTGATTTTACACATTAGAACCCTTTAAAATTTTATTTAAAAAATGGGTACTTTATGAAAATTTTGAGGAAATTTTCTCTTTCTCCTGTTCAATCAATCTATCCTAAAGCCGGTCAACATTTGAGTAAAGCCTACCAAATAATGTTACATTCAGCACAGAAAAATAAACATGTTGGTCTAAAAAAATTAGTACATGTCCTAGACGGGCCCGGCCCATGTGCCGAGTCCTGCTAAGTCCAATGCACATGATGCAAATAAAGCGTAGCCTACTAGGAATATTCATTGCTTGTGGCTTGTTCTTCTAAGTTTTTAAATCCTAAAGGAGAGTGTATCTAGACCTGGCTTACCCGGGCGGACAACCCGAGCCGAGGAGCGTCAAGCGTCACCAGTAGTAGAACATCACTGGCTAGCTAACGGCTCTCCCGCCTAAACATGTGTGACTAAATTCTTCACCAGAAGCTGGTAGGCTAACCGACTTTATCTCAAGACAGAAATTTTGTGATGATGGTAAACAAACACAACATAACTACCTATCAGAAGACTCAAAGGGGTGCGAGAGAGGATACAATTTATATCACAGTTCAAATAAATATTAAAGTGATAAATAAGCGACAAATAGCACATTAGGCTCCCAAACACGATAATATCCAAAACATGATGAAAGCCAAACAAGAATCAATATACAAAGCTCGAATTCTTATTAGTGGGTCCCCAGCAGAGTCGGCAGAGCTGTCACACCTTTTTTTTTCCCAACCCTATTACGAGGTTGAGTTAGAAGAGTTTTTCCAATTGAAGTGACGTTTTGAAAAGGAATTATTTATTATTTAGAGTCGCCACTTGGAATTGAGTTTTGGTGTTCCAAGTCACCTTTCATTTGAATCCCTTATCAAAAGGAAGGTTTGACTCCTAATTTATGGTCTACAAAAACAGAAGGTTGAGTAAGAAATTCTGTTGACCGAGGGGAAGGGGTAAGGCACCCCTCGAGTCCCGTGGTTCTAGCACGGTCGCTTTATTGGCTAATGTAAGGCTTAAATCAATTTTTTTGGCTATTCTTGTATTTTTATTGATTATGGCTTGTCTATTACCACTTCACTTGATTTATTATATTTTATTAATTGTGTTCACCAAGATGCGGGACGCACATAAGGTATTTCTTTGAAATAGAATGTTAAACCAAGGTACGGAATGTACATATGGTCAAAATATAATAATTTTAGAATTAAAGGTGTCAAGACATGAAATGCGCACATGGTCCTTTTATTGCTTAAGCATATCAATCCAAGGTTCGGGTATGAACACATGAGCTAATATTTAAAGTACATCTAAAGTTTTTCTAGCGTTTTAGAGTATTTCAAATATTTTTATATTTTTATCATTAATTTTTACTTATTTCTGCGAGTCTTAAATTAGTTCCTGATTCATCTCGCTACCTTATAAATATTTTATTCCTACCATGCTAATTATTTTACTTCTTGCAACGATCATATATACCAAACAAGCTATAATATTTGAACAAACATATATCCCAAACCATTAATCTGTCACAAAGCAAAAAATGAATAACAAATATGAAGTCATCAAACATGGTATGAAACCATCCTTTTACCAAGGCACACGTCAATATGAACAGATTCCATATTCACATGTTGACATTGTGGAAAATATGAAACTTTTATCTTGAAATTTTGTCAACTTACTAATCTTGCTTGATAAAAGTCCTTTGATTAATACATTGACTTATCAAAATAATTTGACCAATTTATTAAAATTAATTAATATCACCGTCCCAAACTGGATTTACTAATTCAAAACAAGCCTGAGCTTTACAAACTATATAGACTTAACTAATTAAGAATAACATGCTAACCCTCATTATATCTTGCCTCCAAATTCATGAATTAGTATAAAAGTGTTTCTAATATTTTAAATATTACATACAAAGAGGAATAACAAATCTTGAACAGCCTTAATAAAATTATTGAGTTTGCTACTACATAGTTGTTGTATGCTCCGCTTTTTGGATAACAATTTGCACGAGACTAACGTTCTCCTTGTGTATAACAATTTGTTATTTGGTTGAAAGGAAAATAATCAAGGAATATGAGTGACCTTTTGAGTCCCGGAATCTTCTATTAGTAGCTACAGAAACTTGTAGCCACCTTTCTCTACTTTACCAGAGAAAAAAGAGAAGATGGCAAAAAAATAATTTTAACAAAAAACTTACAAATGAATTAAAGGAAATTTCCAGNTTAGGTAACCCATTTTTTTATTAAACATGTTGAATGCAGAGACGAAACTAGGATTTGAAGTTTATGGGTTCTGAACTTGTCATTGAACAACTCATAGCTCCTTTTGTTACTTAGTTCGCAACTAAACATTTATACATATATAAAGAATTTTCTAATACAAAAATAATGTATAAGTAAAAATTACTGGGTTCATCCGAACCCGTTGGCAGTACTCTCCCTCCGCCCCCGGTTGTATGACTAATTCGACATTCTATGTTGATATTAAGAGCTTTTTATACTTCGAACCAAACAACTCGATTTTAGGGCATGAACTATAGGTCACATACAACTTTACTGTTACTCCAAGAATCTCCTTCGTTCTAATAATGCAAAGGATAAGTGAAAACACTGTTGATCTAGAGGGTAAAAAAAAGACTGAAATAAATGTCACTATTGACTTGGAGCAACTAAAAAGCTGCATGCATTAAAAGTAACTAGTTAAAAACAGATTCACTTTATCTACTCTAATTCATTCTACGATACACAAACCAAATAATCTCAGATATTGAGAAGAGAAAGAATCACTGCATAAAATAAAGAAAATAAACTGCATCAGTAGCTTTGAAAAGCAAGTTCCTTAGCCAAACAACTGAGCTAAATCAAAGTTGAGACTACATATATTATTTGATAATCCTACTTAAAGGGCAGAACTGGATTCTGCAATAATTTCCTACAATAATCTCATGAACATAAATTCAATATTATGTTCACTTACAAGTTCCACATAACACCACATCAATGAAACTTATGGGATGAAACATCCTTGACGAAAGCATCAATGTTAATTTCAGAAGATCCACCATTTGCAGTGGCAAAATGACAGATCTTCTGGATTTCTTTCGCTCTTCGCCTCGTCTCCATCACTTCAGCATTTCCAGAATCCATAAACCACTTCAACAGGCTACAGATCTCTTCCCTCGTTATCGAACATTTATCATCTTTTTTCAC